CCGTCTGGGTCGACCTGCCCTCCGCAAATCCTCCAGCTATCCTGCTGAACTGACAACACAATGCTCAATGACGACGGAAAAGTCGCTGAGCCAGACGAGCAGAAGGCGACAGGACACGCTACTACCATCCGGCTCCTACTCCTGCCGAGTCTGAGACTCTCACTTCTGTACTTTGTGTGAAATAATTGCTAGGAATTTTCACGCGTATTTCCGCCTTCGCCTTCCGCCGGGCTGAAGGCAGTCCTGGCAGTCCTGACTTCCTCGCCTGGGCACTAAAATTTCACAGCAATTTTCAGCTCACCTGCGCTCAAAGTATTTCCACAGCTCGTTCCGTTCGTCGTTGCGATTTTAACAATTTTATTAAATTGAATTTATATCATTTACACGCTTGTCGACTTCAAGTCTGCCGTAGACCGGTGGCATCCACCTGCTCCTCCCCCTCCCGACACCGTTTAATTTCGCGCTTTCGTTTTATGTGGCATTTCTGCTGGATGTACTCGCTTTATGTGCAGGGGAAAGGCAGACATTTTTTCATAGGCTTGCCGAGAGGCTTTTGGCAATTTTTGCTTTCATGATTATTGATGCGGGTGAAATTTAATTGGTCGCCTTGTGTCTGTCCGTCCCCCGGCGAGACCCCGAGAAGCCCTCGTCCGCCGCCTTATTAGATAATATTTTTCCAGGCTAACGAGTTGTATTGCATTAGACCACTTGAGTCGAGTTGCGGCGTTGGGGATGCTTCTGCTCTCAGGACTAATGCCAATTTGCTGGGCTAGGAATTTCCTCCTGCGGAAAGCGGAAACAATTCTTTTGACCGCTTTCCCGGCCCGGTCTTCTTATCAAAAGTATTTCTAGCTCGGAAACTTTAAAAGAGTTGCCACGCATGTCTGCGCCAAAAATTTGTTTAAATAAAAGAAAAACTTTTCTTATTTCGCGCAAAGCTCCCTCTCGACGGAAAAAAAGAAGAAAACGAGTGTGCAACAACAAACAAATAAGCGGCAAAGAAAACTTCGACGCCGATACAATTTCGTAAAATGTCGAAAACTGTGATTGCTAACTCCCTCCTGCTCCTTTGGCATTCAGCCGCTTTTCGCTCGCTTCTCTCGAGGAACCAACTTTGAGTCAAATGTAAATACTTTTCCTGGCAAATATTATCACAATTCCACGCGGCTGCTGCCAGAGACACTGAATAAACTGTTGGCTTGGGTCGCAGCCGAAAAGTAAGCAGCAGGAAATATCCTGCAATTGCAATCAGAGCGGCATGCGATGAGGGTGAGTGGTTTTGGGGTATCCATAACCTAGCAAAGGAGCAGCACGGAAATAATCGTTCATATATCCGATAAGCTATGCCATCGATGAGGTCCCAAATTGAGCTGTTATACCAGGACACTAACCATATCCCATTTCCATGCACAATTAGCCTGCGTAATGTGACGGACAAATTAGCCAAAAGCCCTTCTCTCTCGGCTTGCCACCCTTGGAGGCGCATAAAAATTCATGTCCTCGAATATTGCGCATACGCCGCGTGGCGCATTCGCCTGCATGGCGATAAACTTCAAGTGCCCTGCAATGGACGACCACATGGCCATCGTTTGGACGGGCAATGACTAGAACATGGCTCGCCGCATCCGCATGCCCATCGATTGGCCATGCGAAGGGGTTAAGGATTCGGGGTACCGGATCCTCGGATCCGAAGGGCTGTCAGAGGCAACGCTCGGCCATATTAATCTGGTTAATGATGAAACTGAATCAGCGTTTTAAACGAGCCACTGCACAATGAAGTGCTTGGTCCTGCTGCTGTCGCTGTTCCGCCGTTCGGAGGTCCTGTGTCGCATAAATGGCCCAGCCTTCAAATAAATTAGCTGCGGCTTTCTCTCGGCCCTCGACCACTGGCCATAAAGTTGCCATTCTCGGCGATTTTTTTCTGGCCCAGAGTCACTTGAATTTAAGGCAACTTTATCTCGGTTTTCGGTTGCATATTTTATTGCATCGTCGAACGGAAAAAAACCCTGTATGCCCTTGCGATTTAATTAATCATTGCCTTAGCGGGATAACCTTGAAAGCTTTTAAAGCAATGCCCTCGCTTAAAGTTCCCCTATGCCTCATTGCTTGCCCATCGGCACGCAGTGTCCGAAAAATTGCTCAATTATTCAAACGAATTTCACGCATTTAATTGTGTAAATTTAGCCAGGCATGACAGGCTCTACCCCCAGGACGCCAGGACTGCGGACCACCCACCATTCGACCCCTCCCCCATGTCCTTGCAGTCCAAATGGGCCTGATGTGCGTCGGCTAACGGTACGTAACGTCATAATCACCCCGAAGCGCACGTAATTGGCCAATCAATTGTGTCATTGTTCGCATTTATTACGCGGCCTTTCGGTCTCTGACTCTGACTCTTGGTCTGTCTGGGCCTCGGCCCGCCGTGATTTATGTGGGAGGTTCGGTGGGGGGCCAGAACCAGAACTCTGGACCATCCAAGTGTTAGGCCTACCATCGCAGAGGGAAAAATCAAGAAAGGAAAAGAAAAGCGAGACTGCAGTTAAAGCAAATGAGATCCTGCGACAGCAGTTTCCATGCACTTTTTGTTTCGCTCTGTTGTGGTTTTGTTTTTTCGCCTCTTTTGCCTGTTTTCAGCTGTAACTTTTTAACAAATGCACAAAACGAATGACAACTTCCGGTTCCGGTAGGGGAACTAGGGGGGTTATATGGAGGGTGGGTCTACGGCCGGCTGTCACTGCGAAAAATTACATGCCTTGCGCAAAAGTTTTGCCTCTTCATTATTCTAACATCAAGTCGACACGAGTTGCGGTTTTTGCAATTTTTCTTCAACTTCCCCGCCCACGTCGCCGCATTCTTCTCCAAGGAATTTTGTGCACAGTCAGACAAAGTGTGAAGCGAGGCACAAAACTTCTTCTGGGGCTCCCGCTTCTTGGGCGCACATGCTGCCAACTCGGAGACAGCGCCTCAGACACCCAGTGAACGGGAACTGTGGGCTCGGGCAGGGCGGTGCGGAAATTATACTCTGCATTTTAATCACAATTCAAATCAACGGAATCATCGCCTTTATTCCGAGCAGCAGGCGTCGCTGCTTGGCAATCCATTCAGGGCTTCTCCTACGTGTATGGGAATGTTCCCAAGTGGAGGTGAGCGGGGCATGGGAATGGTGACAATTATTCGGAGTCCTCCACTTGGCTCAGCATTAACTCTTCGCCGTTAAAGTCGTCGGCATCCATGTAGATCAGGCCAATGTACAACACAAAATTAACTACACACAAAAAAACACTCCGGGATCAAATCGACGTGCACATGGTAAATTTCTGTTATTTATACGCATATTTTTTCTGTTAAATATTATTATTTTGCCGAATTTTTTATTTAGGGAATTCTCTGACTTCCAAAAAGAGAGGAAGAAGCAAGAGGGCGACTTAAAGTTACTTGCGTGGAAGCGAGACAGACTCATCCGAAATTCGAACTGGAGCACATCGAATTGAGATGCCACATATCAAGTCAAAATTGCTACCACTTAATTTCAAATTGATCATCGTTTCATATCAAGTTTTTTTTGGGTGTACCTAAATTACCCTAATTTGCACAACGAATTTCAGTGAATTTCGTGTGGCTCTTCCGAACCATTTACAATTATCCATGTTGTTCTGATTCCTTCGCGCGTAAACATTTGCAAATAAAATTGAGCATACAATTCGCCATTGTTGTGTCGGAAAATTGAGTAAATATTATTAATGGCCGAAAAAGCGGTGGAAAAAAACGCCTGACTATCAGTTATAAACTGATTTTTTAAGGAACTTCATAGTTCAAAGATCACGCGCACCTTTGGCCCGATGGGAAAACTTTTGCCCGACATATTGTGGGTGATTTATTAATGTGTAAGCCAATGCAATTTGCCGGCCTTCGACAGATGGCGATAAGCGCCAGGCAAGAGCACAAAAAAAAAAAACAGGGAAAATGGAAACTGTCAGAATGAGGCAAAATCAATGACAGTTGCAATTCGGAAAAGTTCGCCGGTCCCAAAAACGAACCAGACGGGAAAACCGAGTCGCTTCGATCGTATCGTATGCGGCAATTAGCATTTTGTGGCAATGTTGCAACAATAATTTAACGAGCCAGCAGGAGTCGTTTCAGAGAAAATTCGCAAAAGAAAAAAAGGCGAGGTCCTTGGGCGAAGGATAGGAGAAGGCTGAGAGAAAAAAAATTATTTGATTATCCTGCGGCCATGCGCTGTCACAATTTTGCAGACTGCCCGCCGAGCGTGTCGGCTGAGTCCGCGTGTCCCGTTGTCCTGGTGTCCTGCAGCAGCGCCATGAAAGTGCCACATCAGCGAAAGTCTGTTAACTTCCGGTTTATGGTTGCAGCAGCTTATGGAGTCATTTCCGCCTTCTCCGCCCACAGCTCCTCGGCTCCCATTCATTCGGCTCAGCCGGCAGGACACGGTAGCCAGCTGGCGGTGCCCGCAGACCATTCTATTAAATCATCATTTCACTCCGGGTCCACCTCCCCCTTCACCCATAGCACATCCTTCGGCGCACTGCGCTTGCGGTAATTTCTTTCTCCTTTTTTTCGGTTGCAAGTGCTTCCTTTAGATTTATAATTAAGATTTGGTTAGCAGCAAATAGCGGCTCTTTTTGAATTTATGCTGCCTTGTCGGGCAGGCAACTGCAGCTGCCCGTTAAGCGGTAATTTATCATATTTTTAGCGTCAGTCCCTAACAAATTATATGGGCAGTGGATGTGGATGGGGCAGGGTCGGTTGGGTAAACTTCTGAACAATTCTGCAATTTAATTACGCCGAGAGGCTTGGCTTGGCTGGACTCTCAGGAGCCACCTGAGTGGATCTGTAGTTCAATTTAATTTCTTTCTCCATATCGAAATCACGATGATGCGTTCGACAAATGAGAAACTGATGAGCTTTTAATGGGTGCATCGGAAACCCAGTTCGTGCTATATCGGAGGTTCAGTTAGGTGTACTGCGGCTCAAAGCGAACAATGTTGGTGATCCGCAGAGCACTTCTCTTTGGGCTGATCCTCTGTGTAGTCTGCGAATTCATTGCAGAGAAAAAGGTGAGACTCGGCCGACAGCACCTCTTATTTCCCTAATGATTTCATTTTACAGTCCCTGAACTTCTTGCTCTTTCGGAAGATTGTCACCGGCTACAACAGCAAGTACATTTCGCTGTATGAGGCAGCCATCAGTCAGGACTTTACCACGATCAACTTTACCCTGAATTTTGCCCGTAACATCACGGCGGATATTTGGCTGAGGGCAACGATAGGACAAAGGGTGTCCAAGGACTCCTACAGGGACGTCTTTACCTACAACGTGAATCTGTGCCAGGTGATGGGCCGGGGCAAGGGCAACAGCCTGATCAACTTTTGGCTGAACAACATTCTCCGGCAGTCCAATATGCCGCGCAGCTGTCCCCTCAAGGAGGTAATCTATACTGTATTTATTCCCACTATGATAATTTCAATTTAATGCCCCCTTTTCAGGGCAACTACTATATGTGCAACATTCGTTCGGAGAAGGAGACCATTCCGCGTTTTATTCGCTCGGGCAGCTTTCGGATAGACTCGAATGTTTATGTGCGGGACTGGCACAGCGTCAATTTGACAGACACAATCTTCTATGTGGACATCAAAATGAAGTGATGGTCGATGGAGGCCAGCGCAACTGGTCACATTAAAAAGCAATGAATCATTGAAGAGCTCAAATCTCCACTGGCTAACACAATTTCTCACTTCCAATCGAGTAAATCGTTGCACGTGCATTTCGCATAAATAAATTAATGAGTCCTCCAACAAGGACACGGATACGGATAGGGATTCGAGACCGGAACGTGGCTGGCCGCGCTGCAAGCTGCGATTTATTCGAGTGCGCAATCTAAGCGCAAAATAATTTAAACACTGTCAATAATAGTTTGGGGACAAAGTATTTTTCCATCGACAAGTTTGCCCTCGTCCTGCGTTCTGCGTCCTGCGTCCTTCGTCCAGCTCCTCTCGACACGTTCGCACGCGCTCCCAAGGATGCCATGGGTTTTTTTTTCTCGTTTTCTCGTCGTATTTGCCATCAATTGCACTTCCGCCGCTGGAGAGAGAGCAATTTCTTGTATTTTGTCCCGGAACCCGGCGAAGAACAAACGCCAGAAACAAAAGCAGGGGGTAATGCAGGAGGTAATGCAGGGAGTAAGGAGCGGATAGCTGAAGAAGTGGCGTCGTGTACTCAAGGAAATTGCCATCATTATACTTGTCGCAGTTGCCGAGCTTTGTGTTAAATAACGTTTAATGTTTGTTTGCCATGAAATTGATTTACAAAGGGCCATTGCATTGGCCACCCAAAAGCCAACCGATGGGACTTGTAAGCTTTGCCCCAACTCCCATTGGTTTTCTATAAATTAAATCATCTGCAAGCCATTCTTTGGCTTATTTGAAAGGCCTCCAATTACATGGCTGGATGGGCGGTTGAACTAATTAGGCAAAGCTCACCTGACTTTCACTCGTTCTCCGCCCCACACTCATTAGTCATCAGACATGCCTGCCGGCGTTGTCAGGACCAGGATGTGTGTCGAATGTGGGTGAAGTCTATCGAGGGGGCGCAATCATCGCCGCACAACCTATAATTATACCAGCGGGACTCCGAACAAATTGGCGAGCATGAGGGCCTGGGGCAAATCACTTTGGATGCGCCAGTGTGTAAAAGCACATTATGACCGGACCGCCGGGAAGACGGACTGAGAAATACAGAAGGCATCGGGCGGCAATTAGGAGGAAATAAAGTTAAACGCTTCCAACATCGAGTCACATGTATCCTAATGTATCCTTTTTTCCGCCAGTCTGCTTTACAATTTCTTTTGCTGCATGCGACATCTGCGATCCCCCTTTTCACACTAAGGACACTCGAGCCAAATTGAATGCTCCAATGTCTTCTCCTTCTGCTGCAACGATAATCAACGCAAACGCTGCGCCGTGCAACATGTTGCAGCCTTGTTCAGGATATTATTATTTCTCGCCATAAAATTGCTGCCATCATCCGTTGCAGACGCTGCCTGAAAATCGAGAAGAAGGCAGCTCCAACGATTCGATTATCGCTGCGTGAGTGCGGAAGTTGTTAACATCATCATTGCATCGAGTACACATCCCGACAAAGTTGCAGTTTTTCGTTGCTGCTGGCTTGCTTTAATTGATGTAGACTCCTTTAAAAATAACTATTTTCGTCATTAGTTCTGGTATTTGTGACACAATTGCTGTCTGGAGGTAGATTTTCAGAGGCTTTACACCCTAAACCTTTAACCTTTAACTTTAGCCCTTTAAACTCTTAAATCTATTATAGTACATTATAGTATTTACCGGTTTATATCATTAAAGTTTTTATTAAATACAACAATTATTACTTAAATAAATTGAAATCCGAATTGAATAGTATCAACATTTTAAAATTGGCTAGCTGTCTTGAAAAAGTTTATATTTAGTAACCACAACCTTCATATTTTGGGGGCACAGAAACCTTTTCCGTTATATTTCTTATACTATACACTAAACCAACTGTATTCGCTTGGAAGACATTACTGCGACATTTCCGAATAAATAGTATTTTCTTAGCTTTAATAAAAATTCCTTTACTCGTACATAGAAAGAAAAATCCTAGCACTTTGTTCTTGAATTGAGAACATTCGTACTTAAGAAACATGTAATCCAAATGTTTTAATTTTATGTTAAATGTTCGCAATATCAGAAGGAAATGGTGAGAAAGAAATTTGTCTTAAATGAAAGTGCACTGATCATCCAGCTTTTGTATCTTTCCTGTACTTTATTCACATTGCCTAATGATCAGGCAGCTGAGTTTAAATGGTCTAGTTGGAAAGAATAGCGTCGATTGTCAGACTCAAGGCCTCTTCAAACGACTTAGTGTTGTACCTGCCGTAGAAGAAGGTGAGCTTGCCGCGATACTCGCCGGGAATGAGGAATTTGTGGGTCATGGAACTGCCCATGCGCCACTGGTGCATGTAGTAGTGACCCACCTCCACTGGGCAGTTGTACATGAAGTTGCTGTTCTTGCTCATATCCTTGAACCAGCTCTTAAACAGACTGTTCTTCACACTCGATGTTACGGCGCAAACGTCGGACTTTTGGCTGAACATGGACTGAAAGTTCTTGGCATTGGCCAGACGCAGCAAAATATCGATGTGCGCCTTGAAGCCCCTCTGAATGGGTCTGTTAAGAACCATGTCCATATTCATCATGTTGTTCACTATGGTCATCGTGTAGTTTTTGAAATACTTGGGATTATAGCTGCAGTTGCCGGTGACAAACTGAACACTGCGCTCCTGAAAGAAAGCCAAGCTGAAGAACTGCCATTTGGGGTCGAAAAATGACTTACCCCCACGACGAGATCGATGTGAAAAACATATTGAATAAGAACGGAGCACACGAGCAATTTCCACATTTCAGTGCCCACGATGAAACGCAAATGAGAGCCCTAAAAATCAATTACAAATCACGGCCACGAGTATGGTATATTTATTTCCAAGCCATTAGCCATCGGAATCAGTGCATCAGATATGTATGACAGCATCGGCCGTGCAGCTCATTATGAAGTCCTCGTCTTTGCCCTTGTACTTTCCAAAAAAGTTGTAGGTCTCCAATCGGTACGATCCGCTCGTTATGAACGGCGGCACCAGGCCCTCGCCGAACTGCCAGCCCCTCAGATAGTAGTGGCTCGCATTCAAAGGACACTGCCGCAGGAAGTTTCCGTACTTGAGCAGGTTTTTGTACCACTTTTTAAACAGGTTCATCTTGGCCGCGTTTACAATATTGCATACGTCAACGTTCGTAGAAAAGAGGCTCTGGAAGCTCTTCGAGTTGCCCACGCGAGTTCTAAAGTCCAGCCTGGCCCTCCAGCCCCTGAGCAGTGGCTTTCGCAGGTACATGTCCAGGAAGATCTTGTCGTTGCGAATGGTGAATGTAAAGTTTTCGAAATATTCCCGGTTGAACTTGCTCTCGCCGGCTATGAACTTGATGCTGCGTTCCTAGAAGCGGTAGGTTGGAACTGGAAGTAACCAGGAGTAATAGCAGACTACTTACCGCCCTGACAGATAACAGAAATATGGCCAGGCACAACTGTATCTCCAGCCTGACTAGTTTCAAGATCCACATAGGCCGAGCCATCGCCGATCACAAAAACAAGAGAACTGTTTCAATAAACGTTTTTGTTTGTGCAAAATATATTAATTATCCAGCTTACTGTAGCCTGACTATCCAATCACATAGGTCGTAATCATTCATCTCGACAGCTTCAGTTCAGCACGGCTTCCACATTGCACTCCAGCAGGGGATTCTGCTTCTTGAACCTGCCGTAGAAGAACGATCCGCCGATTCGGTAGTCACCCAGGTAGAGGAAGGAGGGCACATAGTTGGCGTCCAGGGTCCAGCCATGCAGGTAATAGTAACCCCCTTGGATGGGGCAGCTCGTGGCAAAGTTTCCCACCTTCAGCATGGACGTAAACCATCGCCGATAGATCGACTCCTGGGCTCCCTTGATTAAAGCGCAGTAGTTCATGTCGTGCTGATAGACACTCTGGTACGGTTTGCCCTTGGACAAGCGGAACTCGAAGCTCAGATGCGCCTTCAGGCCCTGCCGCAGGGTGGTGATCAAAATCATGTCCATCATCACCTTGGTCTTGATTATTTGGATAGTAAAGTTGGAGAAAACCGATCTGTTGTAGGTGCAGTCGCCGGCCTTGAAAGTCATTCGGGGGGCCTAACGAGCACACACAAAAAAAACTTGGTAAAATTAACCAATATAATTGTCAAACAGTACCTAACCAACAAAAATGGTCAATTCTACCAATTAAATAGTTACTTTCACAAAAACAAATGCACACAATTAGCAAAGACACACACCCAAACCCGTATAGGTCAATTTTATCTATCAAATTTTTTGTGTGCAGATTCTCAACAGAGCCTTTAGCGGAGGGATCTCGATCTCGACTTACCACGCATGGCCCGATGAATGCAGTTCCCACAATCCAGCCCAAAACAATTGGTACAAGCTTAGCGGGAAACATCGCCGGATGATGTCAGCTCGAACATTGCCGCTAACTACCGCTTTTGGTATATAGCAATTAGAGCCATTTAATGGGCTTGTTGTTCGGTTCAAATTCCGTGATAGATTGATTAATCGGTCAAACAGTTGAATGATATAATTGCAGGTTAAACTCGCAGCTATTTGTTATGCATTGTTGCCTCCACCAGGCACTGGACAAGAAAGAGCTGCTTCTTGGTGCGATACTTGCCGTAGTAGACCAGGGCCCTCAGGCGGTAGTCGCCACTCAGCAGATAGGAGGGCACCAGACCCATGTCGATGTGCCAACCCTTGAGGTAGTAGTGCCCCGCCGGCACCGGGCAGTTCTCCATGAAGTTGCTGTTCTTGGTCACGCTCTTCACCCAGCGCCGGAAGAGCGAATCCTTGAGGGTCGAGAGCAGCTCACAGTAGTCGGTGTCGGTTTGGACCAGGCTCTGGAACTTCTTCGCATTGCTGAGTCGCAGCTGCACATCGACATGTCCTCGAAAGCCGGCCTTGAGGGCCTGGAGCAACTCAATGTCCGCGGAGATCGTGCTGTTCACAGACGTCACGTTCAGGATGCTGAAAAACTTGGAGTTCTTCTCGCACTGGACGCGACTTAGGCTCACCGAGCTGGACTGCCAGGTGCAGAGTTAATTAGATCCCGGAACGTGGATTCCTTAAATTTTACCTTACCTCTGCCAGCGACAAGAGTACGCCGATAAGGATAAATGCTATTCTCCACATTGGTACTTCCGATCGAAGGTCTGAGTGCAATGGCAGTCTGCTATCAACGGTGCTCTTGTTATTCGATTGCACACCGCTGGACCTGCTAATTGGTTTTAAATTACCTCGAAATGGCGCATTGTGGAAACGCTATATTTATAACTTTCTACTTGTGTTGGCTTTATTTATAATCACGCGAATCAAATAATGCTATGTTGCTTTCAGCAGAGCATATACGTCCAAGTCGAGAAAGAAGTCCTCCTGCTTTGACTTGTGTTTGCCGTAGAAGAAGTGACCTTTGATGCAATAGTCACCGGGCAGCAAGTAGTGCGGAACCAACTGCGAGTCCAGCTTCCAGTCATGCAGAAAGTAGTGACCCGCTGGCACGGGGCAGTTGACCATAAAGTTTCCGTGCTTCAGCATACTATCGAACCAGCTCTTGAAAATGTTTGTTCTCACCGATGAAACCACGCCACAGGTGTCCAGGATGTGGGCGAAGAGGCGTTGGTAGCTTTTGCCCTTATCCAGGCTGATCTGGGTGTCGATAAGGACCTTCAGGCCGCGGTGGATCGTCTTGGAGGTTGTCATATCCATGTGCAAAGTGTTGTTTATAATCTCCAGCGTGAAGTTTTCGAAATGCTCCTTACTGAATTTGCTCTTGCCTGTCTGGAAAACAAATGACGACTTTGTCACAAAGAGTTAAGAATTATTAAAAAATTAATAATAACAATTATGTATTAATAACTTACTGCATTTGTGATTCCAAACTTGTAGCAAAAAAACAAAAGGGCCACAGTAAACACTTTCAACATGTCCATACCGATGTCGAGCGTATAATGACGTTTAAAATACCTTTCCATACAGACACCAGCCAGACTAAACTAATTTTAATTGATGGCAACATGTAAAATTTATAGAGTCACTGATCGCTTACTTTATTTCTATTTCAAAGGCACAGCCCACAATGAAATCTTTGATTCTATCGTTGTTCCTCAATTGGTTCATGTCGAACTTCACTCGGTACTTGCCTGCATACAGAAACTTTGGAATGAAAAGCGTGTCATAATTGTAGTTCCTCAGGTAGTATAAGTTGGGTTCGACAGGGCAATATTTTTTAAAGTTCCCGGCCTCGAAGAAGGTTGCAAACCATCTCTTAAACATGTTGTTCCTCCTTTGTGCCAGCAAGTTGCACATATCCAACGTGTATTGGAAAATTTTCTGATACTTTTTAGAATTTTTCATGCTAATCATGAACTCTATGTCCATTGTCACACCGGAAATCAGACTCTTTAATAAGTAAAATTCCAGATTCACTCGAGAGTTTTTTAACAACAGCGTGAGATTAGCAATATAGCTTCGATTAAAGTTTCCACACTGACTTTCTAGCATTAGAACTTTATCCATCTGAAAGCGTTTTGGAGTACGTTTTACTGGATGGAGCTGACTTTGATCATGAAATACTTACCACGGTAGTGGGCATGGTCATAAAGCACATAACTACTGCCAAAATTCTAAGGCCTTTCATTTATTTTTAAAAAAATTGGGACTGGTGGAGTGCCAAATATTTACTAAGGTCGAAATAAAAAACATTGGGATTTAAATGTTGGCTTTTTAACAGCACCGTTTAAAATGATTGGAGAAAACATATTTAAACGGCAATTTAAGAACGTTTATTTTGTTCATCATACTCCATAAAAAAGGTTTGTATTTTTAATAAAAAACAAAAATAGATTAATATATTTTTTTTTCTGTGGAATCAATTTTTAAAAAATAATTTAGAAATTTTTGATATCTCATACCTGTTCTAGCAAGGGAATTAACTGATATGATCATGTTAATGACAATTGCTCATCAGTGCATGGAGGTTCAAATACTTAACGAGATCAAGTGAGCAATCTGCACATTAGTTGAATAGCGTTAGAAATTCCAACTTGGAATCATTACATATTAAGGTAAGCCGAACTCATTTTGTAATTAGTCTCGTGTGGCCAGCGAATCGAAATGAGTTTACATACCCCTTACCAAATACTGGTTTTACTGTTGCTGCTGTCTTGGCAGAATTTGTTGGCCATAGTGGGTAATTTGCTGTTCCTCAACCTATTTTGTAATAACAATACTATCATAGAAATCACTGGAAGTGCTGAGTCACAGATGCCACCATAATACGAATTACATTGAAGACTTTAACATATCGTGCGTTGAGAACCGCATTTCCTGTGAGATGCAAACGAAAGAGAAGATCCCAGCTGGTGTAAAGTTTCACATAGATCTTGAAAGGGGTCTGAGCAGCAGTGGAGCTTTCAATACGTTCTTTAAGTACGACATCGACTTCTGCAGGGTTATAGGTTCCAATCGAAACAACCTGTTTAAGCGATGGATTCTTAGTCTGGATAAGTATGGACAGATGCCGAGTCGCTGTCCATGGCCGGTTGGTCGGTACTATCTCAAGGATTGGCAGTTGAATGGTGACCTGATACCGCCGTTCGTTGTCCCTGGTTATTACAAAAGCAAAGTTATGAGTTACCTAGGGAGCATTGGTACCAAATCGTTTGACTTGCTGCTCGATTGTGAGGTTATTTCGAAACTGATTTGATTGAACAATTTAAATAAATCTGTAACTATTTCAGTACACATTTACTTTCTTTAATTTAACCTAGAAACGTTTCTTTAATTCGTTTAGTTAGAATCTCACATTTTATATCTTGCTTTAAAGCCTTGAATCCTTTGGTTTCTCAGGCTGCAAACGTATCCACAGTCTTAGGCTCTTGCGAGCATTCAACAAGGCAGTCAGTCATTCGTGGCGCTCATCCTAGATGCAGTCAACGTGTCTATGTTTACCCAGCGCAGAGCCCGAACCCCGAATCCCCAATGCCGCATTTATGTGCACGAACCACTGCAGAAAACAATTGCACGTAATTCTGCTTACGCCGTTACATTGCAACAATGCACGGCGAAAAAAGGCAGGCAAAAAACCGACCTGCCTAGCCATTTGTTGGAGTTTTCTGTTTTTCTGTTTTTCAGTTTTTCTGAATTTTTCCCCCTTTTGCCTTCCTGCGGTTGCGACAGTCTGATGGCCAGACGGAGTGAGAGACCGACAGATGGATGGGCAGTCCCCTGTTGGCGGAGGGGGTGGCGTTGTCAGACGTCGACCTATGCGCTTAATCAGAATCGGGTCTGTCGAAACTAAGGCGCCATTTACCATTGTCCAACGATGTCTGGGGCCCGGGACTGTGCCTACTTCCTGGGTCCTGGTGTTGGCCAAATAAATGTCTTGCCTTCGCTCTTCTGCGCTCCTTTTGTCTTCTGTTTGTCCCTCGTTCTGCTTTCACTCCGTGACTGACTGCCTTTCCCCATTTCCGTCTCCGTCTCGGCCTCGGCCTCCGCCTGCATATTGCATTTATTTACATAGGCCTGGCCTGACTTTTGATTTTAAGCTCTTTGGCTCTTCTAACTCAATTCCCTCTCGGGGCTTTAGTCCTTGCAGCTGTCATGGCGCCAGTGTACCAGGTACCAGTGTTTGTGCGGCTGTGATTGTGGCTGTGCGCTGCCCTATGTATTTACGGATGCAGTTACGTGCCCTGCCTGCTGCGGGCTGTGCAAATAGGACACTTGCCCATTCTGTAGGTCGCCAGGATGCAGACTCGGGCCCGTGACCATCGTCACAGTCCCTATGTGTGACTTTGGCTTCTTGAGCCACACGGATTATATGGGCTGGCTTAAGAGAGAAGCTCGTTCTTTAATGCTTACAATATACTCGCTAGATTTACCCTAATGACATGCTTTGGAATAATGATCATTTCTAATGGTTGTGAAAGGATGTGGTTTCTATAAAACTAAAGCGATTTCAACCTATGAAATGGAATTGCCTTCGTTTGGTATAAGAAGAGAGAATCTTCGTAGAATAACATGTTTTGAAACGTCTTGTAAAATAATAATCATAAAATAATTGTACTGTACTCACACACACTTCTCAACTATTCCACATCGTAGAGTTGGTAAAAAAAATGTATAGCACTGTCGATACTATCGATTGTTTTAAAATTTAGGAAACATCGATACCATCGCTCACAAAAATTATTGAGTTTTGCATGTAATTTTTGGTACCCATAAGTTGTATGTTAAAAGCATAATTTTTTAATAATATTTTTTTTTGCATGATTTTTTTATTCTTTTGATTTGTTTTTTATATTTAATAATCTCCGATAGTATCGATAATAGTGTCGATCGAGCACTATCGATGTTTAAACAACCCTACCACATCGGATAGGAATCTTACCACATCGGATAGTAATCTTACCTCCAAACTCTTTTGTTTCTGCCAGTCTGGGCATATATCCCCATAGCCTTAGTAGCCGCCATTCCTTGGTTCAAACTGATTGCCCTCAGACCTCCATTCGACTAGGAAAAACTATAGAAAATGCCTCGTCAACGATTTCAACCACATTGCTCTGATTTAGAACCGACAACAAAGTCTCCATCTTTCTCCCTGGTTCCTTCCCACTCCAATTGAAAACGGCAATCAAAAGTGCAACGGAGGAAGACAATTTTCACACTTGGCATGAAAGAAATATATTTTGCTTGGCAAATATGCTGACCTGACCCCTCAGAGCAAACAAGCTGGCAGTGCAGTGGCACTCGTGCGAGTCAGTCGAAGGAGAACGTCATCATAAATGGCCAGGGAAGGACTCCAAAGACGGCAGGAGCAGCAATCAGAGGCGCCTGGAAATATGCAATGCGAAAAATCAACACAGCACAACGATGGGAACGACCCCAATTACCCTCGTTTTGCCAGTGTGAATGGGAAAAGGAGTGAAAAGCAGGAAAAATCCCTGCATATTTACAGGCGTTGGCATGAAAATTTGTCACCTAGCAGAGCAAACACCTCCGAATCGAATCGGAGCCCGAAGTGTGAGTGTGGGTTCTCGTGTAATTGAGCCTACAGATATGCAACCAACGAGTATCCCAGTAATCGACACTTGGGCGCGGCAAACAGGACTCCGAACCCGAGCCCCCTTCGATTTCCCTGCGCTGCGCCGCGTTTGCGCCTACTGGCATGCAATTGTAGGGGCAAGAGTGCAGCACTTTCCTGGAAATGTGCAACGTCCTGATTGGCCGACACGGGCCGTGCTCATAAAGTTTTCAGGAGCGATGCGGATTGGTCCGAAGACCCAGTTAAGGGCAGCTCACAGTGCGCATGGGCGGCGAAAGAGAGTGGAGCGGACGTGCTCAGCAAATAGAAGGAGCGCCCCACAGTATGCAATGGCATTTTATTTTTATCCTTCGAGGGTTGTGCGAATGTGTGTGTGTGTGAGTGTGTCGGGGCGATTAAAGCTCCGTGCGTGGTGAAAATGGACGGGGAACAGCTCTCGAGTGGTGGTGGTTTTTACACTCACGCGTGTGTGTGAACTAATTGCATTGGAATGTTTTTGTCTCGCCGCCCTCGATATTGTTGTTATTGTTACTGGGTGTCTGTATTTGCATTCGGGTTTCGAGTGTTTGACATTGATTGCATTTGCAATTTGTATCATTGGGGCAGCATGAATTATTTGGCCATTCATGGAATGCCAAAGCCTAAAAGAAGCCTATTAATTGAACATTTTGGCATTAAATATAGTACGTATCAACAGCCTATTTAATGTTGTTCATCTAGCTATTTCTCTGTTGCTTTGGTTAGTGTCATTGTGACACTTAAATTCAATTAAACCTACTTTGCCTTCATTTTATTGTTCCAACCCCAAGTAATACCCTTGGGCAAAGCTTTTGTGTAGACTCCGCTATCCGTCTCCCTCTTGTACTGCCACTTTCTCGTTTCGGCTCATTCTCTATCCCACTTGCGTATTACTCCCTTAAACTCTACACACAGTCTAGTCAAATTCGCCGTGATTTTAAGAAAAACTAAAGCTTTTATACATTGCAAATAAATCTCCATCATTGTAAAGTAAATTTTCTACAGTGTGTTGTTTATAATTCCCAACTGGGTTTAGGTCTATCAAGACACCAAAGCCAGATTCTGAGATGTTAAGACCTCACATTAAGGGCCGTTTTCTCGTCCATTTTTATACCCGTTACTCGTAGTAACAGCTAGAATGAAGCGTTTCCGACACCATAAAATATACATATATTCTTGATCAGGGTCACTAGCCGAGTCGATCTAGTCATGTCCGTCTGTCTGTCTGTATGAACGCTGATGTCTCAAAAACTATAAAAGCTTGAAAGTTGGGATTACCCACACATACTCTTGGGCTTCCTATGCAGCGCAAGCTTATTTCAGCCGAGGGCCACGCCTCCTCTAACGCCTACAATCGCCTTAAACGATTTTAAAAGGTGTCTGGCGCCCACACCTTTAAAGACTTCGGAAAATTAAAATTCAGATTTATTGTGTTAATCAATACCTGTCGAAATGTAGAAGAAAATTTTCAAGTCGGACCACTCGCTAAAAATTTATGCGCGATCAAAGCTTTTTGTATGCGTTACAAAGTGCAACCTTTGTTTTCTCAGTGTCTCTTGGAAAAGCTTCCACTTAAAGCAGGAGCTTGAAACTTACTGCGAAAAGTGTGTAGAGTTCCGAGTGGGAGGGTTGTACTTGTTGACGCTGTTGTTGTTTGAGGCGAATTGGGAGACCCAACATGTTCGAAATGCTGTTGCATACTGGTCCATTATAATATAATTCGAGTTGAGGAAATATTTCGAATTTTCTCAGTGAAATCGCATCTGCAATTAAAATTTCTACAACCTTTTTTGCATTTACATATAATACATTTTCCTCATTAGTTTTAAGTTGAAGCTTCGTGTTATTAGATATGTTCTTTGTCCTTCATCGGCATGCAATCATCGTTTATTTGCCGAGATTTTTGATGTTGCTGTTGGTGCTGGTGTTACTACTTCGCAGCTCAGTTGTCTCCTTATTTGCCGGCTAACAGTTCGTAGAGGTCCTCGTGCGAATTCGTCGTCTACAGCTTCGCCTCGTCGTCGGCTGCCCCAAGGACTCGTGCAGTTGGATAGGTTCGTGTTCGTTGCACAATTCGCCAGCGATGGCAAGCTTAAAATTTTCGGAATGCGTTAAGGATCAGTTTTGCGCGAATTACGGTCATGAAAGGTTGCCAACGACGAAGAGCCGGCGTCCGAAACAAACAATTTTCCCAATAACATTTCCCAGAGTCTTCCTTTCTGTGCGTGTGTGTACGGTCCGCGAATTTGATTACTTTTTGAGAGCTTGAAAAAGCAATGCAAACATATCGCCTATGAAAACCGACCTGACCTAGCCCAAGTAACTTCGAGAACGTAACTGACCTAAGTCAATCACGACAAAACAATACCAGGATTTGGACAATATTGATAAAGAAGAATAAGACATCTAAAAATAAATATAAGGAGTCAGTAAAATATTTTATAAGGCTTGAGACAACCCTCAAATAGTTTAGGAACAGATAAAAGTGCTAGAATAGTTCTTAGTCCGTTGCGCCACTTTCTTTTAAATCATATCAGTTGCTTGTTATATCCTGACAAATATAAGATTCCTTGGACAGTTTGGCCAAAACAAAAGCCAAAGGAAAATTACCTATGCACATTTCCCAACATCGCTCGCTTAAACTA